TGGCTGTTGTTGCTGGAATTAAAAAATTCCACGATTTTCTATATGGCAGGCATTTAACGGTCTTCACTGACCATAAGCCTCTGCTGGGACTGTTTACCACACGTAAGCAGACTCCCCACATCATTTCCCCTAGAATGCTTAGGTGGTCTATTTTCGGCTGCATTGTATTTTTCATTACTCTCAAAGCATGGGAAAGAAATGGGCCATGCTGTATGGCTCAGGTGGATTGCTTTTCTGTAACCAGTCGTGAAGCTGACCCGCGCCAGCTGCAACATTCTATCACCAAGCCTTGCCCGAGCTCCCTCTTAGTGCCAGGGATGTTACCGCTGAAACAGGTACAGATCACACACTTTCACGTGTCCGCTCCTGGGTCCTGTCCGGGTGGCCTGAGCACTGCCCTAGTCCTGAGTTTCAGAGTTCTGGTCCAAAAGGAACGAACTGTCCCTTTCTCAGGGTTGTCTGCTTTGGGGAAACAGAGTTGTCATTCCCACCTCAATGAGGACTAGGGTCTTAGAATCCCTCCCCGAGGGTCATCCTGGCATTGTCCGTATGAAGGCTCTTGCACGAAGCCACTTGTGGCGGGGTTTTGGGGTTTTTTTTGCGGTTTGCGGTTTGTGTTTTCGTGGCGGGCGTGTGTTTTGCGGGCCCTGGCATGGTTTAGATAAAGGTATTGAGGCTACGGTACACGCATGCCACCTGTGCCAACGTTCTCGCCCAGAGATGCCCCAAGCTCCTGTGCATAGATGGGAGGAAACACAGTCCCCATGGTCTAGGGTGCACATTGACTACGCTGGGCCCTTTCAGGGCCAGTTCTTCTTGGTCCTTGTTGACAGCCATTCAAAATGGCTTGAGGTTGTGCCTGTCTCATCCACCACCACTGCAAAGACTATTCAGGTAATGAGGGGGATTTTTGCTGCACACGGGCTGCCAGATGTCATTGTGTCCGACAACGGCCCTCAATTCACCTCCTCCGAATTCCAAGCTTTCTGACAGGCAAACCTGAGTCGTCATGCCACGTCTGCGCCTTTTCACCCGTCCACCAACGGTATGGCTGAACATATGGTGCGCATCGCAAAGGACGCCTTGAAGAGACTCACCTACGGGGACTGGCATCACAGGTTGGCTGACTTTCTCCTTTCTTATCGCACCACACCGTCCACTTCTACAGGGAGAAGTCCAGCGGAACTTCGTTGGGGCGCCAACATTACTACTAGATTGACCAGTTGCATACGGGACAGACTGCTTCATCTACCTCACATCCTAGGGAATCTTAGACAACTAATGTGGTCTGCACCGGTTTGGCTCGCAATTACGGGCTGGTCATACATGGTCCCGCTCTGTGTCACGGATCACAGGTCCTCATCTCCTACTAGGTTTCCCTGGACAACGGTAGGTCCTGCGTCGGCACATCGAACAAACTTCGCCTCTAGGCTGAGACTTTTCTGCGAGACTCTGGGTCTTTCCAGGGGGGGAGGGGGACCCTTTGGAGCAAAATGGAAGGGCAAGAGCTACTAGCCCATTCACTGAGGGAGCCACAAACGGCTCGTCCCCAAGTTCTGCAATTGCTCCGAAAAGAAATCATGGAGTTACCCACACAACAGGCACTCACGCCTACTCCAGCCAGGGAGTCACCCGGGGGCATACTCACGTTCCACACACGTCACACAGCACTCCAGTCACGGAGGATACCCGGGGGCATCCCAACAAATCATTCCCCGCAAGAGAGCTGGCACACAATCCCCAAAGTTGGCCTGACCTTACCCCAAATCCTACAGGGGGTCAAACATACACAGAGCTAGTCGAGGAACCAAGTCCCGACTACAACAACCCTAGCACACATCAGGGAACACCTGAATTTTGGGAAAGTACAGAAACCCACACGAGCCCGAGCACAGAATGGGGTTCAGGGAATGGACAGCCTCCTGACAGGTCTTGGACTGACCTAGGAGTTTCTACAGAGACGCCCAGCAGTGGCTATCACTTCAAGGGGCCCGAGGGTCTACAGCTAGGCAGGTCAACCAGGTCACAAAGCAACAGAAGCCCTGGCCTGACGAGCCCGGTGGGCAAGCAATCAGGCCAGGCATCGGGGCACAGTCCTTGGAAGACACCAGGGCACAATAGAGAGAATAGGCTCACGCCTCCCTCCAGTCAGGGGACTTATGCCAGTAATCCAGAAGCTAAGAAAGGTCACAGAGAGCAAAGAAATTCTCCCAAGTACTAAGAAGACTACATAACATTTGCTGGCAAAGCAAAAGCCAGTAACAGTGGAACATTGGGGAGCAAAATGTCGTAGAAAATAAATGTTGTAGGTTGGTAGTAGTTTTAGGACGGGGGAAAGGGTGGTGTTATGTCACGAGTCCTTTGCAAACGGCTCAGGGCGTGCAGGCAGTCGCCGGGAGGTGCAAAAGATGCCGGGACCAGACAGGATGTCGCCAGCGCCGTGCGCATGCACGGGTGCTGGCGCGGGAAAAGTAACTCATTTCCCCGGGAGTTGCCTATATAGAGGCTGCGAGGCGTTTGGGCGAGGCTGAAGCCATCTTCCTGTAAGCTGAACGCTGAATAAATGAAACTGAGAACTCCAGCTGCTTCTCGTGTCTGTTTTCCCGCCACGGACTCAACACTAATGATGCTGCATGTTATATCCCAAGCCTTTACATTCTTTCTCTCAAAAGGGACACATAGATGCACGCATATTCAAATAACAACATAGCTCTATTATTCTAAATGGGAATAACCTTTGTTCTCCAAAATGGCTGTTGCTGTCCGATCTTGTTCATTGGTTTGTTTGTGCTTTTCTGAAGTCAGTTTACACTTTAGTACTCCATGAAAGTACCTAAAATGTGGCTGAGAGTTAACAGGAGAACTCAAATGAATTCTTGAAAGTTCAAAATTTTGCACTGATGTTTACACAAAAAAGAATATAAGGCGCGTGCAGTTCTCGAATAAGAGCCAAGTTCTACAGCTGCCAAATCAAATCTTTGCTGTCTTCAGGAAAAAAAGCCAACCAAAAACATGTGTGCCAATGCTGTGATTTGAACAAGAAAAGTTTGTCATTTTTGTAATTAGAAATAGAACTCTAGGTTAGAGGAAGAACAGGAAGTCAGACCATTTCTACTTTTACTGAAAACAAAACAGCAAGGTAAGATGGATTTTTACTCAGCGGATACCAAAATAGGATCAATTTAGTCTATGCCTTAATACTGTGTATGGGGTAATCACAGCCAACTAGGAGTATTCACCAAACTATGGTTTTGCAAATTTTGTCTTAATTTACAAATCACACATGCCAAAATGAAACATTCCACTTTTTGAAAGGTAAATCAGTCTAGGGCTGAGCATAAATTTTAATCTGACCTTTTGCATAAAACATCCATATTGACCTAGTTCTTACACTTTGTTAAGATAAGTCATCTATCTATAGCGTACTAAATTCATCATAGTTAGGTTTGCACAATATGATAAGATATGTGGGAACCTTGGCACTCTCTGATCTTGGATGTTTTCTTGCAGATGTTTCTTTACCAAACTAAGTAGCATCATCAGTGCTAGTAGGGAGTGAGGTAGCACTCTAGAATAGCAATGTCTGCAAGAAAAAACTGAGCTCAGAGAGCACCTAAGACCCCACGGTTCAACCGTGAGCTACAAATATTCACTTCTATGATAAGATATAAATCTGATTAAAGCAATAACATGTGGACTCATGCAATATAGTAAGCTAAAGACAGATGAATTCCGTTATAACTTAGCATGATGGGTGAAGTCAATTATAATGCAATGGCTTTTGTTGGAGGAAAAGGTTGGAGAAGGTTTTCCCTGAATGCTCTTCCCACTATATTATTCTACCTCTGTCCTCCAATCTTATGAGGATTGGAGGATCCTCCTCCGCAGCCCCCATGCAATAGCTTTTAAGCAGGTCTTCAAACTTGGCCCTTTTATGACTCATGGACTTCAGCTTCCAGAAGTCCTCAGCCAGCGTGCCTGCTTTTAAGGGACATAAGGAATTGCAATAAATGGGAAGGCCATGTGAAAACTATAGCTTCATTTCCCTATGAAGCACTCTGTAAATTGAGATTAACAGCCTGGATCAGTACCACTGTATCTGAGTTTTGCTTGGAAAACAACAACTTTAAACCATAATATTTAGGAAACAGTCTAACGGTATTGTGAGTAAGACCCATTGGACACGCATGGTATTGTTCTGAATATCAATTTAATGGATATATTACTAAACTTTAAAATCAACAGCTGACTGAGCTTTTATATATTTATTACAGGCAGTCCTCAACTTACAACAGTTCATTTAGTGACCGTTCAAAGTTACAATCACACTGAAAAAAGTGACTTATGATGGTTTTTCACACTTACAATTATTGCAGCATCCCTATGGCCATGTGATCAAAATTCAGAGCTTGGCAACTGGTTCATATTTATGACGGTTGCTGTGTCCCAGGATCATGTAATCAACTTTTGCAACCTTCTGACAAGCAAAGTCAATGGGGAAGCCAGATTCACTTAACAACCGGGTTATTAACTTGACAACTGCAATGATTCACTTAACAACCGTGGCAAGAAAAGCTGTAAAATAGGGCAAAACTCACTTAACAAATGTCTCCCTTAGCAACATAAATTTTGGGCTCAATTGTGGTCGTAAGTTGAGGACTACCTGTATTTGGGCCCATTCTATTTATTTGGTTCAATTTATTTGTTTGAAATTAGTGGGTTTCGGTTCTTGCTGTTCACGTGTATTACATTTGAGGGGTAGGGATGGATATTATTAAAAATCAGTCTATGTCTGTAAACCTCTTCCTTTCTTAAATTATCTCAAAAAGAAATTTATACTGAACTATTAAATTTGAAATTGAAAAGTAGGATAAATAATTTATGATGTGATTAAAAGTCAATACATTAATTAGTTGACCGTTAGAACAAGTGATTAATCAGACACAAACTATCAATCAGCAAAGAGCCAAGTTAACATTTCCATTTCTGGATTATTTCAGATATTGATGAATGCCGCACTATTGCTGAGGCCTGTAGAGGAGACATGGTGTGTGTCAACCAAAATGGTGGCTATTTATGCATTCCACGAACAAATCCTGTCCAGCGATCCCCATATATGAATCCTTACGTACCTAGTGTGTACCCACCACCTCCAGTCCCAGCTCCTGCTCCAAATTATCCTACTGTTGGAAGAGTGCCTCCCATTTGTCGGTTTGGGTATCGAATGAATGAAAACAACCAGTGTGTAGGTAAATAGCAAGATGTTTAATTTGTGCCTGTCATGTACAGATTTTTAGCCTGTCACAATTTGCTATCTGAACTGTAAGAGAGAGAGGAGGGAGAGAGAGAGACAGAGAGAGGGAGGGAGGGAGGGAAGGAGAGAGAGAGAGAGGAAAAAAAACACAAGAGTCTAGGTAATCCTCGACTTATAACCATTCATTGAGTGACCATTTGAAATTACAACAGCAATGAAAAAAGTGAATTATGACCATTTTTCACACGTACACCCAAATGTCTCACTTAGCAACATAAATTTTGGGTTCATTTGTGTCGTTAGTCAAGGAATACCTGCATACATTGGTCCATTGATTTCATGACTGAATAGCGAAACCCTGGCAAAAGGCCCAGGCAGCATTTTCCTGCTTTATTGTGCCTTGTTTATCTTTTAGTAGGTCAATGGCCTCTGTACCATGTTTGAATTGCTGATTCTGCCAAAGCAAGATATTTATCATGGTGAAATGTTTGTTTTGTTGATTTGTCTTTTGGACTAGTACCCTGCACATGAGGCACGTAGGTTCATGCTGATGATTCTGACTGCCAGCTGTTTGAACCATCTAATGGGGGATAAATAGTGAATATATCTCATTCATGTGCCAACTGTCTTCATTAGGAAATAATAGGCTTCAGACTCTAACTGTGCTATTTTCTTTCAATCTTCTTTGTGAATTGTTGCTTTAACAGCTGTTTATTTGGACATTGCTGTTTCGTTACAGGTAGCACTTGTTTAGGAACAACAATTGCCATTGGCAACTTGGTCATTAAGCAACACGGTCACTAAATGAAACTACAAATGTGCTTATGGTTTTAATTTTAATTTTTTTTGGTTTATAGAGCTGCAAAGTTTATAAATGCAAAGATTGGTCATGAAATTGCATTTTCATCTCCTTTGTAAGTGCAAATGGACACTAAATGAGGCATTCACTAAATGAAGACTACCTGTAATATGCTTCATAGTTGTGGTACAATCCATTTTATTTAACTTAATAAGTTATTTATTTAACTTATCAATAAGTTAATGCTTATTTGCTCTGTTTACATTGATTAGCATTTTGACTTGGTATACTGTGTACTTTGACTTGCTTAATAAGCATTAACTTGGTATACTGTGTAATCAATTTGAACATTCACAGCAAACCAATATATATTAATCTAATTATAAAGAAAGAATAAGAAATGCAACCAGCATTATTAGTGTCATCTGGCATGGGACAGAATAACCACCTTCAAAATGTTATCCAACCAAGGTTTCACTCTCAACATATTCCATTAGTCTTTCTCCTCTTCAATCCTCTCTTACAACAAATAGTTTATTCCAAAATAACATTCAAAAACATAATTTTATCATAAATTAATTTTAGCTGAAAGACATCAAATGTACATCAAATATCTGTAAAACTGTTAATTGCATCTGCACTGGATAAACCTGTTGTAGTTAGGTTTGCTTATTATGAGTGAGCCTCTGTGAAACTATATTTTAATTGTGTGATTTTGATTTATTGTTCATGTTAATTCATTATCAGTTACTTAAGATGTACCTAGGAAAGAGATGTGCTTCCATCATGATAGCATGCAGTATATCCTTTCCAAGTTGTTATATAGCATCATACCTGTGACCTTCCCAAGCTTTATTGTTTGAAGAGTACTGGGGTCAAAATATTAGCTAAATATCATCTTTGGCTAATTCAAAAAAGTTACTCTTTTTCCTTAAATATATATAATATATATACATATAAAATAACAACTGTAAACTGCTTCTGTGCTAGGAATTCAGCATGGACAGTATGTCTAGCTAAAAAGAAATCAATCAGTTGTTATAACTACTTGGTTCTGGCGATGTTAGTTTGCAGAATTGTGGTTTCTCCGTGTATACAGAGAAATGTAGAAGGGTGATGCAAAATTAGTCCCAGAACAGACTCAATATCAAAGAATCACTGGAGTGAAACGAAAACAATATGACTCATCAATCTAAGGAATAAGAGAAAGACCAAAGGTAAATATAATTAGAACAATCTAGACAGCTTCACCAAACTGACAAGTCATATTCCATTAAAAATATACAAAAACATTTAGCTACTTACTCATACACAAAGTTTGATAGGTGAAAATCTCTTTTTACATCCTGTAACAGACATCTTGACCAATACAAACTTTAGAAATTCCCATTAGATGAGAATGCACCCACAATCAGCCTATGGATCAATCCTTTTGACTCCTCTCTCTTAGTCTTAATTTTGCTGTTTTCATTTATATCCTTTTCAAGAAAAAAGGCAAACACAATGAAGGAATTGAGTTATTTTATATTCTATTTTTGTTCTTGGGAACAATGATTTGTTGGGCTAGCAGGGGTAGGCAACCTTGGCTCTTTTATGACTCGTGGACTTAAACTCCCAGAGCCAACACAGCTGGCTCAGGAATTCTGGGAGTTGAAGTCCACGAGTCATAAAAGAGCCAAGGTTGCCTACCCCTGGGCTAGGGCTTGCTTTAGTGCCTGCTTCTGAGAGAGATTGGATTGGATTTCAATAACACACACAGATATACACATACACAAACACCAGAGTTAAAAGTGAGAATCCTAACTAAAGGTCAATCTCCTTCAAGTCAAACCTGACCCTTGCTGACTTCATGGACTCTTTCATGAAGCTTTCTTGGCAATGTTATTAACGTGGTTTGCCACTGTCTTCTTCTAAGATGATTTTTGACATTCCCATCTACAATAATCTACAGTTCTGGCATTAGTGTCTTATTCAAGTATTAACTAGGTCTGATCTTGTATAACTTCTGAGTCCAGAAAAATACAACTTGTTGACACATGAATAATCAGTAAGCATCAACACAAACATCCTAGAGAGGCAGCAGGATAATATCTCCCAGATACTTCTTTGCAGTTTTTAAATATATTTCTTAAAAGAAAGAATATGATTACATCCAGGATATATATTATTTTGAAACTTCTTAATTCCTGGTCGAAATAGATTATAATTCTGAAGCAAAACACAGTGTCATATCTAGACCAATGTTTTTGTTTTGGCTATTTCCATATTTAACCCATTTAATCATGTACTTTAAGCTCTAGACTGCTTAGCCATAGTAATCTTTTTGGTGAAAGAATTCAGTTTAGTAACCACCTGTAGTCTTCTTATTCTTTCACTACAATTTCTAAGTTAAAAAATTTCCTTCATCCCATCCCATAATTTTCTCATTCATACTGATTTGGTAATCTTTGTTCAGTATTGCTAGAAATGTAGTGCAAAGATCTATTTCTTTCTTTCCTTCTTTCTCTCTCTCTCTCTCTCTCTCTCACTCACTCACTCACTCTCTCACTCTCTGTCTCTCTCTTTCTTTCTCATTTCCATCGTTAGTCTTCATTCTGGCTAAAATGCTTAATAAATGGTTGGTTAAAAAGGCCAGTTAAGTACATAGTAACAAGGGTAGAGAACAAAGGAGGCGAAAAATAAGAAATAAGCCCGTTGTATACTCCACATATTGCCATTTGGTCCTGCGTTTACCAGGAAAAAAACTATAGGAGACTTCTGGTAATTTTGTAATACCTATTTATTTACAAGTGTACAAAAATGGCACAGAGGAGAGACCCATGCCCAAAGAGATGGTCCTGTTTTTTAAAGTATCCAATCTCCAAACAGCAACATTCCCTTGGAACCACAGGTCCTTATTGGTCTTGAAATACAAAATTCATGCTTATTTATCAATATTTAAACCTGTTAAGCATTTTAATGTACCCTTTTTCACCTAGGTAAGATTTGATAGCTAGCAGTCCTCAGACATGAATTGACTGGACAACAGTAAACTGGAAAGATGATAGTTGCATTGAAAAATTTCAGCTGCATAAATAAAATCCAAATTCCACGCTGGCAACTAAAAAAAAAAAAGGTTACATATCCTACACAACCTAAATATAATCTTCCTAAAATACAGCAACCCTGATTGCAGGCTGTTTGGCTAGATACCTGTCCTTGTATGCCATTGCAGGTGACGGCCTTTCCCTGTGAAATAAGTTTGGTACATTAAATGCGATGTATGTCATGGCAGGTACCATGTCTTCTCATATAAAGATTGATGGAAAACAATCAAGCTGAGCAAGTGCCCGGTAATCCTTCCCTAATTATTGTCCTTGCTTCTTCAGAACAGCCCTAACCTTTCAAAATTTAGTGTGGCTAAGTTAAAAAGTGCACACATAAAGGATTCCCCTCTCTTTTAGTTTTAAGTTCACACTCCTCACATGTCTCTCTAGGTCCCCTTGGAGATATTTCTAATTTTACTCTGGGATGGTGATTCCCTGCCCAAAATTAGCTGTCCCAATTTTTTAACCCCTCCACATCAGTATTCTTAGCACTTCATGGTTCTTAGTTTCTTTTCTTATTCTTTCTCACAATCAGCTTTTGGATTCAGCCATCCTATTTTTACAGATGTGGAATTGAAGCTGAGGCATAATGTTTTTTTCCCACCCAATGAGTCCATTTTTATGAGCTGGAATTTGAACTACTATTTCAAGTTCCAAATGTAACACCCTGTCCTTTGGCTCTTTTCTTTTTACATTTGTTTTTCATTCCTGATTATTCATCTGGGACTAGAAGGCACTAAATTTTAATGTGTGTTGTCCCTATTCTTAATCATTTTTAGGATGTTTTTCAGTGTTGAAAGCACTGAAAAAGCACCTTCTAGTTCCAAATTACAGATGTATTAATTTTTTTAACAATTTCTTGGCTTTTCTTTTGCTTGCAGCACTCCTTTAGTTTTATTCACTTGTATAAATGTGTAGTGAAGAGTTGGTTTCTCATGACATTAAATTTCATAACGGAAAGCCAGTTTTTCTTTCATTGGACAACACAGTCCTCACAATGTAGTGAGACTTCCTGTCATTTAGGCAGGTTCATCATAGTAAGAGCAAGTCTGAACTGGAAAAAATGGATTCTCCAGACATGCAGAATTTAATTATATATTATACTTTTAT